CTTATATATATATTATCAAATGCATATTTGTGATAATAGAAGCTTGATTTTTTGTTAGAACATGATTATAGATAGTAAATATGATTGGAATAATATATAAATTTTATAATATTAATTGTATTGGGATTGATCAATAGAGAGAAAAAAAGGAATGAGATAGAGAGAGATATTATATTTACTTACTAAATATGGGTAATATAAATTCTATATTTAGAAACCCAAAAATAGTTTGGATAAATATAAAAGTTTTATAATATTAAAAATCTCTTATATTTATCTTTATTTACCATCTATAATCATGCTCTTAGGGATGTGATATGTGTGTGACTTGAACTTATACATCTGTAAATATAATCATGTATATATGTATTGTATGTCAATAATTATTAAAGCCCAAGGCCCACTTTACAGAGAGTTACTCTGTTTCTTTTATCTTTTTCCAATAAAAGAGGCCCACAAAAACTATTATTATTCCGAATTACCCCGTGAATTTCATTTTTTTTTTAAACTATTCAACAAATGTATTCATGGATAAAACAAAACCAAAGAAAACAAAAATGAAAATTCCTAATTTCGGCTGAGTTTTATCAGAATTTTATACTCTCCTTCGTTATACGACATATATGATATGACAAAAAAGTACTAAAAGAACAGGTATTATTGAATGTAAATAAGTAAAAAGGTACAATTAATAAAACCCTAGAAAATATCATCTCCAGCTAGAATCTATACACGATTAATTTTCGGTTTCTATATAAAATTAATAAAAATTGCCCACAAAGCCAAAAAAAAGCCACAAAGATGTCATATGCCTAGTACATTAACCAAAACATAAATAAAAAGGAATCAATGCCTATATCTACCTCAATCTAGCTACTTGCCTATGTATTCACAAAGTGTGGACGAGTACCAACAAAATTCAATTTCTTTTTTGTAAACAATGAATAAATGTATGTTGGATTTCATTTATTTAAAACCTATAAAGATTGTTTTTTCGAAATTAGGTCATAAATGATATAGTGAATTTTCAGCTACTTGAACAAAATTGTTGACACGTGGAGTGTGACCAGTTACATGTATTAATGATTATAGCCAATGCAAATCAAAACAGTGGATCTTGTTGGGTAATATGGGTGAATATCATGAATTCTATAACATCATCACTGACATCATATGAGTAAATATTTAGATATACAATGTTAGTATTATTTATTGAGGAGATACAACTAAGATCATATCTAAATGTTTTAAATATGTCTTATTTAAAAAGTTGCAATCTCGGAATCGCAATCAAGTCCGAGATTAACGAACGTGGAAAACATCGGACGGTATCGAATTACTATCGATAGAATCTCGATTTGTGAGGTTGTTCAAATCTTGTTAGAACATGATCAATGATGGATGATGTTATGTTAGAGTGCTAAATATTTTTTTATTATATATATTGCGAAATTAGAACTCTATTTTTTTAGGTTCTATAGGATATGAATGTTTAGCTTTGTTAGAGGGAAAAAAGTAGATGAAAACTTGTTTTATTTTTTTTCCCACCATTTTACTCTAGATTTTGTCCATTCAAGAACTTTTAGAGTAAAACTTTTCTATTCTCTTCCCTTCATTTTTAGAGTAAATTATACCTCTTGAAAAACTAGAAGGAAACTATTTTTCATCTAATTACTCTAATTTCCAATTTTCTTTCCCTCTACTCTAATTACTCTCATTCCCACTCTTTTACTCTAATTATTTACCATTCACAGCCTAAATGTTAAAATTAGAACCCCATTTTTGAGATTCTAAAATTATAGGAAACTATTTTCCATCCAATTACTCTAATTTCCAATTTTCTTTCTCTCTACTCTAATTACTCTCATTCCCACTCTTTTACTCTAATTATTTACCATTCACAGCATAAATGTTAAAATTAGAACCCCATTTTTGAGATTCTAAAATTATTTAGTTATTTTTAATCTATTAGCAATCCAGTAAAAAAATCCACTAACATCCTGATCATGCTCTTAGGCTTCCAAATATCCTTATGTAGGATTCACTTTTAATATATTTACGTGGCATTTTATGATTCGTTAGATGTGGGGGCCATGTGAGCGAGCTGATGGTGGATACTCCTCGATGTCTTCACGAGATTTTATTTTAGTTTGTTTCCATGTGGT